CATTACGGGAAATAGATCGGAGATTTTAGACGTGACGTTTGCTAGTCGCGATTGCATCGACAAAGTTGGCAACTGGCACGTCTCCAAGGAAGGGACACTTTCCGATCATCGGGAGATAAATTTCACGATAAACAGTGCACGTTCAGAAAGTTCTCTCTATAGAAATCCAAGAAGTACCAACTGGAATGACTTCGTACTTCACCTACGTACGAACTTGGATACACTAGCTTGGAATGATAATATAAATACAACACAAGAGTTAGACTGTGCGGTTGAGAAACTATCAGACTCTCTCCATAATGCATTTATTACCTCGTGTCCAGGCAGAAATAGTAAACCAAAGGTGAACCATTGGTGGAATAAAAAGCTTAAGCTACAAAGGCGAGAATGCAGGAAACTGCTTCGCCAGTATAGGAACAGTCCAGAAAATACTAAATGTATGAAATGGGCGGCCTATAAAGCAAAGCGAAACGAGTACAACTCTGAAATAGCATCAGCTAAGAGAGACTCATGGGTGAAATACTGTAACGAAATAGAAGGCGTTACTGCTATGGCACGAGTACACAAACTATTGGCAAAGGACTCCCTTAATATGCCAGGTGTACTCAAATATCCAAACCGAGAGTATACAAACTCACATGAGGAAGCGGCCAAACTGCTTCTGGACACTCACTTCCCAGGGAGTGAGTTGATAAATACAGTAGACACCGCACACAGGTTTGGGGAATTAAATTTCCAGGAGAAAGTGGTCACAAGAGAAATTGTCACTTACGACAGAACTCTATGGGCCATCTCTTCTTTTAAACCATACAAATCACCGGGTTTTGATGAAATATTCCCGGTGATGCTACATAAAGCTTGGCACATAATACATGGTCATTTAATGTCCATATATATTGCGTCCATAAAACTTGGTTACATCCCCAAGTTGTGGCAAAGAGTGAGAGTAGTCTTTATACCGAAGCCGGGTAAAGATGATTACTCCTTGCCAAAGTCTTTCAGACCGATTAGTCTTACATCTTTCCTGTTAAAAGGCTTAGAAAGACTAATTGAGAGATATCTGTCGGACTACTTGAAACAAAACTGTCCTCTATTCGATGGACAACACGCATTTCAGCAGGGTAAATCAACTGAAACTGCTTTACATTCCCTGTAAAATATGATAGAGGACACTATAGCTAATAAGGAATATGCGTTGGGGACCTTCCTCGACATAGAGGGGGCGTTCGATAACATTTCCTTCGATGCTGTTGACGAAGCAATGGTGCAACGTAATGTGAATATGGTTATGAGAAGATGGACACAAAGTCTACTACGATCTAGAGCCATCACTTACGAGTCCCATGGAAAAAATGCAACCGTTATACCCAAAAGGGGAACTCCGCAGGGAGGAGTCATCTCACCAACATTGTGGATCCTGGTTATGGACGAACTCCTAACGATGTTACATCGGGAGGGGTTTGAAATAATAGGTTATGCTGATGACTTAGTCATTATATGTCGCGGGAAATTCCTAGGAACCCTGTGTGAAAGAACACAAAGAGCATTATCAATCGTAGAGCGATGGTGCATAAAAATTGGTTTATCGGTGAATCCGAATAAAACTGAACTGATAATTTTCACAAATAAAAGGAAACTGTCAGACTTCAAGGCCCCCAAGTTATTTGGCAGAAGGATCCAATGGTCCAGAAGCGTAAAATATTTAGGGATTACGTTTACTCCAAATCTCAACTGGAGTAATCACCTTGAATACCGCATTAACAAATGCATAAGGGTCTTCTGGGCTTGTAGAAGGGCAATAGGAAGGAATTGGGGGCTAGACCCAACTAACCTCCTGTGGCTTCATACAGCAATTATTAGACCAATGATATCGTATGGATCGTTCATATGGTGGAAAGGCACTACATCGGCGATGGCACAGAAAGCTCTTTGCCATCTTCAGAGGGTTGTGTGTATGGCAATAACAGGAGCTGCGAAAAGTGCACCACAAGTAGCACTGGAAACTTTGCTAAATATTCCACCACTGGACAAATTCATCACAGCCGAGGCACAAATAACAGCATTTCGGTTAAGAACAATCATAAACTTGGAAAGAGTACGGCACTACAATCACTCGAATGCTATAGAGAGATTGTATTCTTATGAACCGTTGCTACAAGCTCCAAGCGACAGGATTCCACCTGCATTACATTTCGAAAAACCTTATCGTGTAATTTTACCGACAAGGGAGGCAGAAATGATGGAGGAAAGGCCTACTGTCACACAAATCGAAAGATGGTTTACAGATACTTCAGTAAACATAATCGGATCTGGATATGGCTTATGGAATGAAAGCACAGATACGGAATACTGTGGATACCTTGGCTTATATGCTGATATTTCACAGGCTGAGTTGTCTGCTATTCTAAACTGTAGTATAGAAATAGCAAATGACAATCTCAGCACATCACCCATAGTGATTCACACGGAGAGTTTGTATGCTATCAAAGCATTAAACGACTTCAAAGTGGACACCAAACTTGTGTTAGACTGTATTACATTACTAACGCAGATAGCGCAACGTAGGGAAGTAACCACAAAATGGATTTCACCTCAAACCCAAACTCAGGGGCAAATGAGGGCAGCCATTTTAGCCAAAAAAGGTGCTTCTCAAAGAGCATATGGTCCCGAACCCTTTCTACCTTGGAACGAAAGGAAATGTAGGAACATATGTAACAAATGGTTACAGGAAAGTATTATCATACGATGGCGTAACACAAATACATGCTCGACAACTAGAAGTTTTCTAACGACACCTAGTAAAAAGTTTGCATCACAACTACTTAGTTTAAGTAAAATGAAACTAAGTTATACCATAGGTATCCTAACAGGTCATATTAGACTGAATGCACACTTGAAGCGCATTGGAGTTAGGGATGATCCAGATTGTGACCTTTGCAGAAGAAATGAGGAAACCTCAATTCATTTCCTGTGCACATGTACACAACTAAATCGTACCAGAGTTACTATTTTTGGTAAGGGGACGATCAATCCAGAGGAAGTCTTAAAATTTGATATTTCAAATTTTTTTAGCTTCATCAAAGAGTCGGGTAGATTCTCTCAACTGAGGGACACTCCCACTTTATTAAATAACGATAGACAAGTTACAGGGAATGAGACTTTTAATGTAACACAACCCACGTAATAGTGTCGCAACATTAAACCTATGGATGATTTTATTATCAATCGGTAGGAATGAGCTGTTTTTCTCTTTCTCCACGGGTAGCTTGCAATAGGTTCTTGACCTTCGCGACGAGATTTTCTCTTTTGAGTCTTTCTCCCCACTATAATCCATACATCCATACATCCATCATGATGAAGAATTATTCTGCGACGATGGTTATTTTTTCTTAATTCACCAAACACTTCTGGCAAACAAATGGTGGTGTACCAGTCAGAATTGACTGTTCTACGATCCTCTAGTGGAACTGTTGCCACATGTCCACTGATTGCGAAAAAACAGGCGACCATTTGCTTCGCAACACTTCGCGCTCGAACAACTTTCGTTGGATTATCTTCACTTTGGAAGACCCATACTGTCGACTGCTGTTTAGTTTCGGGCTCATACGCGTAGATCCATGATTCGTCACCAGTGACGATAAAATACACGGATTTTGAAACACCACGATTGAATTTCTTGAGCATTTCTTTGCACCAATTCACACGAGCTAATTTTTGGTCATCGGTCAATTTATGTGGAATCCAACGAGAGCAAATCTTTTTTACGGCCAAATGTTCATGCAAAATCGTGTGTATGCTTCTCATACTAATTCCCAAGGATGCCTCAATCTCACGGTATGTGACATGACGGCATCGATAGTTTCTGGAACAACAACCGATTTTGGACGACCTTCACGGAATTCGTCGATGAGTGAATGACGACCACGATTGAATTCAGTAAACCAGTGATATACAGTGGCCTTGCATGGAGCTTCATCGCCAAAGACCAAATGAAGTTGATAAAAACACTGTTGTTGAGATACACCCAATCTAAAGTCGTAGTAAATTATCGCACGAAAATTTCCACGAGTAAAATTCATTTTTTTGTTGAGACGCAATTTAGATGTCACTGTAAACAATACAAATAGCGCGCGTATGACAGAACGTTCTGAGATCGTTTATGCTACCAAATGTTAAACTTAACGAATATGACAATGGTTTGTATCGGACAACACTAAATATTGCCAATTCTAGAAATATATGGAGCAGCCCTCGTATAATACAACGTATTTGATTAAAATTAAAAAAATAATTGGAAAGTATAAAATTAAGTATATTTTTCATGTGTTTACCAGATTTATTTGCTAACTGTGACCTGGCTCTGAGTGAATTTTAATTTAAGTACTGGTTATCGTGCGTTGGTACCGGACCAATAAAATTCCGGAATGGTAAAAAATATTTTCAATGAAAAATAGATCTTTCACGCATTTTTGGTCCAAACCCAATCACAGAACAACCGTTTTTTTTACGAAATATGTTAACATTGACACTCAAGTTTTCATGTATTGTAAATGGTTTCTTTGAGTTTTTCGGATCAAGACAGAAGATTTGCGAACTATATACACTGAAATTTGCATCCGTGGACAAATTTTCAATTTGCGATAACCAATTTTAGTAGAAAATTTGCTGATTGTATAATGTATAAATAAAAAACACTTCTTTGGAAGTTCTCACTGTGACGCAATACTGCACATCAAATCTGAAAATGATCTGATATAAATTTTCAGTGACGCTTGCAATCAAATACATAAACAATTTTTATATTGCGTTTAAATAAATTTTCCATCCAGTTGTGATGTTGCCTAATGACATGAGAATGGTGTAAAGTGTGTGATTACATAATAATAATAATTATTATTATTCGTTCAACAATAAATTCCAAATAAATTGAACCTTATATTTCGGGCCCCGTACAATAATATTCAATCCCAGTCAACTTAATCGAGTCAAGTAACAAAACATATTTTTTGTTTAAATTATCTTAATTCTATATTTATAGTCTTCATCATCGATGTCAGATATCTACTTTTTATTTGATACGAAAATTACGTCTGTAATAGACTAAAGCATCACATTTTTCAATATTAAATTGTATAGAAATTATTACATATTTGTATGCTGGTATGATTAATAACAACTGTGTGGAAATTGAGCTTCATCGGAATGCTGTGCCGGTATTGTTACCCCCCCACTAGTAAGAGCTTCTTGTGCCAAAGAATCGGTACTTTCGACTGGTAAAAAGCAATCGGAAGATATTTCAACAGTTTTGCGATCATTCTGTTGTAAATTAGACAATTTTGATGTTGTTGCATGAAGATCATCGTTCGAGTCTTCATTTCGAATCAATCCAAGTTTGTGGTCTTGTAGGTGTTTTCGCAAGGCATCCAAATTTACAGAAACAAAACTGCAATGATCGCAAAGTAGCTTGCGAAATAGCTCAGGATGATGACGTTTCATATGATTTTTGAAGTTAATGGACTGTATTGATGTATAATCACATTCTGTGCACTGATATTTTGTTTTCTAACATGAACATATAAAAAGTGGATTTTTTTGATAATTTACTGTTTTTTTTTTAAATAGTAAATGTTCATTCAGACTTACATCATTGTGACGCATTTCATGTTTCCGCAAAACACTTGGATCTGCTGTGCAGAAAGAACACACTTTACATGACATTGGTTTTTCACCCGTGTGCTGTCGCATATGAATCTATAGATTAAACATTAAACAATTGTTAACGCAAATACAGCAATTACCAACCAGTTACATGTTTACGGTCGAAATTAGCGTCACATTCGTGTGGTTTCAGTCATTTTCAACGTCACAAATAGAAGAAAAAAAGATTAAGTTAGAAAGTTAACCATGATTAACATCAATAAAGCCAAGAAAAACTTGTTAATTAAAATAGATATGCATCTAAAAATGGAAAGTATGTTTTCCGAATCTTCAAAAAGCTTCAATTTGTATGAAAATCACTCAGTGAGTCCAAAATTTCTGATGGCATATCAAAGAAAGATCTATAGAAAGAAAAATTATTATTGATGTTGATTTATTGGCAATTTTCTTCTATTGTCCGTCAAAAATGGATCTAATTCGGGTGTGGCGCACAGTTTCGCATATCGTATGTTATGTAACGTAAAACAAAGCTATCGCTTATTTCTTTACCTCCCATGTGGACTTTCTAGCTGATTTGTAACCACATACAGAACAGATGAATGGTTTTATACGGTTATGAACTGCTTTTATATGCTTCGATAAAGTTTTTGAAGTGGCAAATACATTCGAGCAAATATCACAAGTTTTTTTGGAATACCATCGGGATGACCCATTTTTATCTATATGCGCCGTCGCAACATGTTGCCGCAACTGATTAAACTGCTCGAAGGATTTTGGACACAGTGAGCAAAGAAAACCTTTCAATTGGTCATGGATTTGAAGATGACGATAGACTTTGACTGCAAAGTTAAGCAAAACATTGAGAAGTGTTAATAAGTGTTAATTTTTTTTTGTAGTTTTTAAGTTTGGTTCTACTTCCTCTTTAAATTTTACCTACCTGCAAACACTGATTTAAATGAACAAAATGGACATTTTAATAAATCAATATCAATTTTATGTTCTTTCCACATATGAGATGTACAATCACGCCATAATTTCGATTCACTTGCACATTCTAGGCATTTGAACTGTCTCACTTGATCCACGTCGATTGAAACGTGACATTTCTCATGCATTTGACGTCGTTCATCGTTTTCAAAATAATATGCGCAACCTGTTAGTGAGCATCTAAAATTCAAGTATTTAGTTTATTTAAATGATGGATGATTCTTTGCCTGAATTATGTTATATCACTATGGCTTACTTTACAAGAAATATTTCGTTAAGTTTCTTCTTAAAACCTTTCAATGATATCGGTCTTTGCCAATTTGATTCATTGTTTGTATCATTTTCTTCGTTATCTTTAGTTATAATATTGACTTTATCTGGTTTAGTTTCTGTTATCACTTGAATATTAGTTATTTCAGAACCATCGTCAACATGAATATTTGCGTTGCTGTCAATTTTTTCACTAGACATTTCTAACTCAGCTGTACCAGCCAACTTATAGCCATGCAACTATTTAGAAAAAAAATATCGGTTTTTATGTTATTTTGTTACTATCAATAATAAATAATGTCTTACTTTTATGAAATGGAGTCGTAACTTTTCTACTTTCGGAAAAATCTCAAAACATATACAACATACGTAGAAGTCCACTTTTCCTTTACCTGTAGGGGAGAATCACAAAAGAAAAGAATAATCAACTTGATTGAGTCAAAAAATACTCGAACTAAGGATGGAAAAGAATTTAAGAATAATCAGTAGAATAAATAAATAAAAAAGAAATTCTTTCTCTTTACCTTTATATTGTGACACATCTAATTTGCTGTGATACTCCTTAACGCATTCAATCATCATTTTATGTGGAGTGTCACGTTGTTCTCCACCTATCAGTATTGATTCTACTGTTGGAGCATCCTCTGATTTCTGTGTGTCACTTGCATTGCTATCACTTGGATTAGAATGCATCTGTTAAAAAAATGATCAGACAGACTTTTCAAAAACGATAAAATTCTAAGTATAAATAAAATTGTTTTACCAAGTCAGGTGAGTCTATTGCTATTTGTTCTATGGTATTATTTGGATTCATTGTATCGATTTAAATAAATTCATTTGCTTTGATATATTATTTTCAGCTGATAAATAAATCTCAATGTGATTTTTTTAACTATTCATCTAAAATTCACTTGTATTAGTAAGCACATATTTGATTTCTTTTAATTGATGATAAAATTGAATAGTAAAAACAATACAGTGCTTTAAAAAGTAATTGTTCTGGCATGAAGTTGGTTGCACGCACGTTTTTGCAAAATCACGCATTGTGACAGCTGCACATACTTGAACGTGAATCACACCGAGCAGTCAAAATTGGTAACAGCATCGCAATTGATAGGCTATTTTGTACAAATTCCATACATACATAAAAGTGGTTTACAATTTTATACGAACGAATCCATCACTATCGTCATATTCATTTTTTTGTTTATAGCTTTGAAAGCGAAGACATTACCATTTTAAACAAAAAGAAAAGTTATAAATATAATGAAGTAAAATGGCTTCAGCTTTGGAACATTACGTAAATAATGTGCGTTCATTTAGCTCATTAGGTAAGTAAATTAATATTGTCGGCTTTTAAGTAAAATACGGATCAATATTCGTTGTTTCTATTTAACCTAAAATTTTGTCTTCACTCAATACATTTATTTCCCTTTCAATTTGAATCGATTTTCGTTTCCCCTCTGATATCACAAAAGGAAATTTCCGCGAACTCATCGAGTACTTGAATGGAACATCTGATTTGTTGGCAAAAAATGGAAATATTTTGGATAACGTTTTAGAAACACTTGATGTGCAACAACATTCACTTGGTGTTCTACACGTCCTAGTTGCAAAACTGATAAACTTTTCGGTGAGTTTTTTTTATGTCTTCGAATTCAATGATACATTAATTGAAAAATAATTAAAATATTTGGTTTTGTCGTCGTCATCATTACTCGTTGAAAAAGAATGCAACTTCTGATGGTGAAAATATAATCAAACTGGTTCGTGATTTCATTCAGGCTTGTAATGGAGAACAGGTTCGACATGCTCCACAAGCTTGTAAGTTAATGCTTGGAACATATTTTTGTATTTTAAATAAAATATTGAAATCAAAAGGTTTCCCAATAGGGATGTCCGAAATTATTTTTATAATCAAACAATCTTTCTGATGTACTTCAAGATGCGGAGCTCTGTCATCTTTTTACAAACTACATCATCAAATCGGGTACCTCACCAATTCAAGGCATAAAAGTACTGGCACATGCAGTTGACAAAATTCGTTTGTTCGATTCTCAACTAACTCCAGTACATGCCGATCTGTTTCAGCTCAGTTTATGTGCAAAGATTTTCAATCCAGCGTTGAAATTTTTGGACATAGATATTACAGCCATTTCGACGACTGAGGTAATTTCAATGAAATATATGGACATGACCATTAAATTTAACTAATTTGAATAATTTTTTATCTACAGGACAATAATCACGATGCGAAATATTTTCTTCTGTACTATTATTATGGTGGCATGATTTATTCAGCTATCAAGAACTATGAACGGGCTCTCTATTTTTTTGAAGTAGCTGTTTCAACCCCAGCACTGGCTATGTCTTACATTATGCTAGAATCATATAAGAAATACATTTTGGTGTCGTTGATTTTGGAAGGCAAAATTAGCAGTATACCAAAATATTCATCACAGGTGATTACACGATTTGTCAAGCCACTCAGTCATGCATATCATGACTTGGCAACAGCATATGAAACATCGCAAAGTGACGAGATTCGAAATGTTATCAATAAATATCGCGAGGTGTTCGTACGTGATATGAATTTTGGTTTAGTCAAACAGGTTGCGGCTTCTCTTTATAAAAAGAATATTCAAAGACTTACGCAAACATTTTTGACACTATCATTAGTCGATGTTGCGAATAAGGTGCATTTAAATGGACCAAACGAAGCCGAAAAATATATCGTAGATATGATCAAATCGGGTGAAATTTTTGCATCAATTAATCAAAAAGATGGCATGGTTGTATTCAAGGATGACCCTGAAAAATATAACACCCCCGAAATGTTCCAAAGCATTCAAGAGGACATCACACAAGTGATGGAACTCAACAAGCAAATCGTAAAAATGGAAGAAGAAATAAAATTAAATCCGCACGTGAGTTACATTTATTTATTCGATTCTCCGTATTTAGCTGTTTATATTGGTTTCTTTTAAAACTCTATTTCAACCAATATTACAGTATGTTAAGAAGTCAATTGGAAATCAAGACGAGGATTTGGTTAGCTGTCCGACAAAATCATTTCCACCGTAAGTAATTGCTATTCAGCTGCTGTCATAAAAAATATTATCAATCAATTTTTATCTTATTTGTATTTAGAAACGATCAAATGGAATAAATTTTCTCTTGGTTTCACTGCTCCAGAAAAAAATTCAAACACAAAATAAAAGGAATCCTATTTCAACCAACAAATACATCTGAAAAAGGAGTTTGTAATACATTTACGCTTTCCGTTTACTATGTTTAAATAAATTATGAATAAAAAAATACCATAGTATTTTGAAGATGACTTTAGCGAGAAGCTCTTGCCATTTTTAATTTCATTGAATAAAGAAAAACATATTATTAACTCATTAAAATAGCTCTTTAAGAAGGTATTTTTACTTTTAATTTGGGCCAAAAACTTTACAAATCAATTTTTTCCCAAAATTCCATTACATCTAATCCACCATTAAATAAGAGAGAAAGTATCTGACTCAGCACAGACACACATAGATGCGAACGAAACATTTTATTTGGTTAGTGCTCATAATAACACCGAACAACGTTCAAATTTCAATTTTACATGAACAAAATCAAACGTCTGTCGAACAAAAAGTCATTTTATTTCCAATTTGAGAGCGACTGTGTTGCTGCATCATTTTTATTTGGAACACCAAAAATCGAACAATCTGTTATCTTGTGTGTGCTACAGCGAAGTCGAGATTCATGGAAAACACATTCAATCAGGCACAGAAAGTAAGTATTGAACAATGTCCAGTTAACAACAATGATTTATATTGTGTTGACATTTTATTTATGTATTTCATTTCAGGAAAATATTACAACTCAAGCTTGATAAATCATGTAATAAATACATTGAATCGATGTTAATTATTAACGGCACAGCGGCCAAGTTAACAAATAAGAAAATTTGCGTCATTCACATTGGAGCAGAAAAAATGGCACCAAATTCACCGATTTGAGTGAAAAAACGTTTGCGATACCCAGGCCAAACGATCAGTGTTTTATAAATGGATAGATATATATGATGAGCTGTATTTCACAGATGTACGTGTCTGTGTGCAATATCAATCCATTACTGAAACACTGCAAACGATTGTTCATTTCGTTGACGAGTATATGACATCACAGACTTGTGCGAAATATTTCAAGCGTTTTGATCCACGTACAAATGGCCATCGGTTCAAAGTGTGCTCTCGTCAATAATAGCGATTGTGAGTATCGAAATTGGGAAATCACCGATTGCAACGTGCATGCAAGAAGAAGAGAGAACCGAGACAATAATGTCATCAATTTCCATCAAGGTGCAAATGCAGTACGGGAAACAGTTCAAAATGAAATTGTACATCCATTACAAACAGCTTAACATTTAGTACCAAAAATCACCGTGTTTTTCAAATGGTATCTAAATGCCGCTAACGAATGGATGCCGACTGCAATTCAAACTACCACCGTCTGGCATCAACATCCTTTACAAAGGTAATTCATTGATGAATTGAATTTATTATAAATGTAGATTAAAAATGTCTGTACGTAATTGTTTCAGGTAATTGTTTAGTAAAGGGAATTTCTATCCATCCATCATTTGCGCGAGCACGGCCACCTGTTCAACAAGCAAATTGCTAACTACATTGAACTGTCCGATGATGAATACTATTTCTCAGACGAGTTTGAGGCCGATGACACGGAGCTTGATGGAAACGTTCTCAATGTGGCGAATCAAAATAATGCAACCGAAGCAGCATCATTAGAATTAAGATTTTAAAAGTAACGTTTTTTATATTTTGTAACGTTTTTTGTTATTTCCCAAGCACTCAATTTGCACTGTTCACCCGGGACAATTGCACCATGCGTCAGTTAAGAAAACACGAAACAGAATACGGAGCGACACACGAAGAAAGTAGTGTATGTGCGTATACGCTTCATTCCTTGCGTCTTATTCGTTATTCCCCTTTTTCAGGCAAAGGCTGCTACGCTACATAACAAAAATATAAAAAAAGGGAATAAAGAATAAGATGCAAGGCACGTTTATAATTCTTCACTCGGTACAAATAATAAAAGTGGGTATTTCTTCTTTTTTATTAATTTATATTTCAAAATAAAATTGGTATTGTGAATTATTTTTAATAATCAAATATTTATCAAATTTATAATAGACTCACAAATTCAGAAGACAACACATACATCATAAAATTAATTTTATACTAAATATCTAAATGTTTTTCCGTATTTTCTTCAAATTTTTATTTTTTATTTTTTTTTTTTTCATTTTACATTAGAACCTCTAAAATTATAATAAATAATTTGCAAGAAGAAAAGAAAACAATACATCGTTTAGTCACAATTAACACGTAATCAACTGTGTTATGATTTATGAATGTTTGGTCATTTTATTTCCATAAGAATTTCGATTCGCGTTTGTTACATGATTGCAATTATTTATGTTAAAAACTCAACTTTATTTGTATCCTGTTTTCAAGAAATTTGATTATATTTGATAGTGAAACTTATATTCTGTTACTGGAAAAATGTGGCATATCTCCGTTTCCATAATTTTAATGCAATAATTGCTTTTAGACTGATAGTGAGACAAAGCTATTATATTGAGTGATATTCCGCTTTAGAATGTCAGCACAAGGACCCAAAACACGTTCAAATCTAATATTGATAACAAAAGAAATAGATATAGAACATTATTTTTATTTAAAAAATATTTATTTTTCAAAAACTGAAATAAAACGCTTTAAGATCACACGCATAAGCCATGGAGTCGTTTCAAAAAACGTTAAAAAATCGGTACTGGGAAAATCTTTATGGTAGAATTAGAAATAACTCTCAAAAATTACTTTTGTAATTAGATTCAAAAAGCTTTTTTCAAAAACTATATAGATTTTCTTTATTAACTATAGTTCCTGGTTTGAAATTATCATTGTATGAAAATTAATTAACACAAAAAATGACGAAATTATTTCCAATTTAATTCTTGAAAAAGGAAATTGCAAAAGTAATTCTTGAGAGTGATTTCCCTCTCGATCATAACAATGAAATAATGAAAACAACTTTTTATTCTGGGGCTTTATAATTCTAGTAAGCTAATACTCTTTGAAAGCTATTTCACTCTGCATTTTCGAAGCTATTTTTGATTGTGAAGGTTGTTTGAAAACAGCAAGCACAAATTTAATTAGATAATTGATTCAAAAGATTTTGATTAACATGTGTATCAAGTTAAAGTTAGTTTTCTGTGGTTATTTTCGTGTGGCTCATTTTTTTTAGCTAAAAGTTTCCTTTCAAAACGAAACCAATGCATTACCACGAAAAGCATTTTTTTAAAACAACGTTATTATTTAAAAGCAAATTGTATACAATACTAATAATGAGAGTATACGTATATACCTGTGTCGATCCAATTTCACACACTTAAGTGGACCTCTAGCAATAACAGTGGCTGCGCGTGGACGATCCAATAGTAATGCAATTTCGCCAAAGTAATCACTTGGCCCCAATCTTCCAACTTCGGTCGCCTCCTCATTCTGAAAACAAATGGAATTTCTCGTTGAAAAAAAAAATTGAAATACGTATATTGTGTACACAGTTCCACTTTGAGGTCTTTCAAGTTGGATATTTTTCAATTTAAAGATTATTACTCTTGCAAACTATTCACAAAATATGTAGAAGCTAAGAATTACGAGAAAATTGAGCCACAAAATTTACAAACGTGACATAATATAGTCAACATTGGGACCTCTCATATGCTTCCATGTAGAAGCGGGACGAGTTGTGACAAGTTTGTTTATTTTGTGGGAGGTGGAAATTGAATGAAACTATAAGATATTTACCTCATTTTTTTGTTGTAGTACAACTGCACAGCCTTCAACAATAATGTAGAAATCATCTCCTGCTTCACCTTGTTTAACAATTGTCTCACCATCTTCAAAGCAGACTGGTTCCAATGCGTCAGCCACTGTTAAGCGTTCCCATTTATCTAGGCTCTCTGTAATACAAATATGCACGATAATAATATTAAATCTATTATATCTTTCTATTTTATTACTAACTCACCTAATATCGATACGCGTGATAAAAATTCTTCGTACATTTTACGTTTACGAATTGTTGAACCCATTAAAATTCTACGATATGAGTCTCGGTCTATACCTAGAGTTGATCAGAAGAAAAGAATGGATAAAATGGAAATTAATCAATGAGTAATGGGACGAAATGAATTTTGATCTATACCCCACAGTTTGACATCAGTTTTTGCACGAACGGTAGCGGCACGTGGTGTACCATAAATTAAAGCTAATTCACCGAAGCTGCCACTCTCTTGAATTGTTGTAACCAAATCGTTATTAACGAATACCTAAGAAAGTTAATTAAATATTTATAAGAATAAATCACTAATTATCGATTGATATGCTACTTGATGGTATATGTTACTTACTTCAACTTCACCGTGATCAATAACATAGAAATTGTCACCCTCATCACCTTGCTGTATAATTGCTTCACCTTGCATACAATTAACTGGAAACATGGCGTCAAATATATCGGATCTTTCGTTTTCATCCAAATGCGAGAAAAGAACATTTTTGGCAATCGCCTTTGATAATGCTGCCATAGTTTTATAATCTTTTGGAACAATCTTTTTCACATAGCTGGTGGCATCTTCTTCCGTAACTGGTTCGGCTGAAATGCCACCACGTCTTCGAACTGGCGGAACCTGTGACTGAGGCATTGGACTTAAATCATCACAGTCTTCAGGGCTAGTTGCTTGCTTGGATGTGTCCAGTCTGGTTTGTTCCTATTAAAAAAAACGTTTTAAAAGTTAATTACTTATTTTCATTTTATTAAATTGAATATGTTATACATATAGATGAGTGAACCATCTGTTCCATTCTGTGAACCAACGTATTAAGTTTTCAAGCGATTTTGACCCCTTAAAGATCAAATGGTATGTTTTTAAATATGTTTCTTCCAACGAACGTTGCGTCTACAAAACTTTCATTAAGAATTTTTTTGGGAATATTTGAATATCTAACAAATTTGAAATTACTGCAATGGTGCCAATAAAATTCCCTTATTCATGTCAGTTTAACGATTCCGATTTACAAACATTTTCAAAAATAAATGTACCACTGCCACCAAACTTAAAATATTATAAACACATTTCATAAATGACGAAAATAAATCGTTATTGATATGTGAAGCTTGTACGACTGACATCTTAAAACATCGTAAAAAAATGTCGTACGAGAAAAATATTGTTTTTTTTTTCTATTTTTTACTTAAAATATTATGTCATTCTATTGGGTTTTATATTTTCAAATGCTTGTATTTAAAATTACTCGTACCTTACTCATCTTGATTCAGTTGCGCAATTATATTGTAATAATATTTTTTAGCTCACAGGATCGAACTTTCGAAGAATGTCAGGTGACTATTATTGAATTTTTTTTTTCTCTTTTTATCTTCACTGTACTGTTTAAATTAATGAAAACAAAAACTGAAACCTTCAAGCGATTGTATAATAAATAATAACGGTTTTTGCGCAACACCTTCAATAGTATGAACTATTCCAAAAATGATTTGTATATGTAAATAGGTTTAAATCGTTATTAGTTCGCACGTTGTCGTATTGTTTCCAAAAGTGTGAATATTGTGAAATGTAAATAAAAAATTATGTAATCGTTGTTATTTGGTAGTCGCGATAGATTTTCAAATACTTGACACAGTCAAACTGAGACAAAAATTCACTTTCTCAATTCACGCGCTTGTTTTGAGTGTAATGTAAAAGAGTTCTCGCGCATATTTGCTTATTAATTTGTGTCTTGCTCTCGGATCGTTTTCGTCTATTTTTTTCTTTTCGATATGTTTGTGTGTATATTGGACGAATTTTGTGATCTTGGTGGATTTTGTTACCAAAATAAACTCGCGATTAATATTTTTGATTGTTGGTTTTCCCACGAAATTCCTCTGTATTTTTATACATTTCTTCTATGTTATGGCATTCATTTTTGTTTATAAAAAATAATTCGTACAAAACACTTTTAGACAAAAAATTATTTAGTCAAAAAGAATCAACCGTAAAAAGAATTTTTGGTGACACAGGGATGTTGAGAGTTGTAGTTTAAATGTTAAATTTAACACTGTTTTTGTTGAAATGTGCCTGTGAATATAACAAACTAATGCTGCTTTTGGTACGAATCGTTTGAACAGACTGAAAGTATGTATAATTTATATGTGTGTTTTCTGCTGTGCGTATGAACATCGAAATATTCAGGCTTTTGAATGTGCGATTTTTGTCATATGGCATTTTTTTCATAGTATAGATTTATGAAAGTCAACTCAATTCTCTACTTGCTAACATTTGGATGTTTGATATAAAAGTGAACATTGAATTTTTGTCTGAATTTTTCCAACAGAGGCGCGTTTTTGGCGATTTGATATTACAATTTACTTTCTATTTAAGAAAATTTCATTGATCCTAACAACTTCCTTTCTTAAAGGCGGCAAAGTAATTTCTGAAAATATCGGTTAAAATGCAAATTAAACTTTACATTTTATCTGAAAAAATTCTGTAGAAACGTGACGTCAATTCGCTTTTTATGCATATATATTATGCCAACAGGAAAATTTCGAGAAAAAAAAGACTTTGTGTGAATTTTATCTTCATTATTTTAAGTTTTTCGCAGTGACGTCATTGGAGTTAATAATATTGAATAGTGCATTGTAAATTCTGCATTCTTTCGCATTTTTGGGTCATCGAAATTGAAATTGTAGGTCTTGTAAAGATTTTCGAATTTTACATTCAACAATGATTCTATAGAATTTTTATTTATGATAAAAAAAATGTTATTGGCCAAATTTTACTTTCTTTATAAGTTCCAGTATATTCATAATTTGTCGAATACAATGCTACAGTTGGCAAATGTGATATATGAATTCACAATTATTCAATAAAATATTTTTAAGCATTTCAATTTTTTTTTAAATATTAAATGAATTATTTGATGTTGGTCTATCAAACTTCGGGCAAACTGATACCGAAAAATAATAATATCCAGATTCCCAAACTTCCAAAATTTAATCTTATTTCAGAAAAAAAAATATTTTTCCGGAAGTCTAAAAATGCCCGAAAATTACAAAAAATCAGAACACCTGATGGACCCGACGTCCGACCCAAACTATTTTCGGACTAAATATCAGACTATGTTCCAAATCCCTGAAATCTTTGAAATCAGTTATTCGAATGGAAGAATCTATGGGCTTTTGACCATTTGCTATAATACATATGGTGGTTCGATTTATAAAAGTTTTTGAACTATGCTTTTTTCTGGCTCAAGTTACCTCTTGATAATGCCGAATAAAGATCAAACAACACTCCAGTGTTGATTGAACAGATTCCATCACTTTGCATAAAATGAAATTCCCTCAAGGAAATAAATAGTTTCAAACTAAATTTTGGAGCATTTAATAATGTAAAAAAAAAGCAAAGCAACACTTTCTTCTATCTTTTTTCTTTTCAATGAATTTCTCAATTCTCCCGTGTAAAGAAATCAATAATCTATTTAAGGTAAATCCAATAATTACAGACATTACGATAATAATATATTTAAAGTACGAAGATACTGAAAATATTTTTATGACAAAAAATATTATTAACATTATTAAGTTGTTATTATTTTAAAACGGCATTACCTTATAACGTTATAAATTCAATATAAATTTCACATGAAATATCTAACGAGATATGTTGCTATACAGGGTGTCCGAACATGTATGCCGGGGTTTACAAATTTTTTGTTCGACAGAATTTGTTACTTTGGAGACTCGAAAATCATCTCAGAAACAAAATAAAAAAATGTAAATAGTTGATAGAATACTTGGCGTTTTTAATTCTGAATTCCGTCAATTTCCATACTTAAGTTAGATTGTGTTCGTTGAGTTGGAGTAATTGAGCAAACGTTTGAACCTCTAAACAATTGTTCCAGTCCTATGTTTCAATACCTAAATTTGTAACCATCAAATCACGATGTTTGAGTTTTCTTATCTAAATTCTTAAATCATTTGTTTATCAATTTTTAATACAAACAATATAAAAGCACTCTTAATTCCTAAATCGTTCACCTTTATATTTAATTATTAATTTTGTCAATCATATTTAATCAAATTTTTTAAACTAACAGTTCTACTTTGAAATGATTGTATTATACTTTTTATTTTTATTCTATCGTTTCTAAATTCTTATTTTTCTAATTATCAGAAGTCGTAACAACATTAACAAGATTGTATACAACACAATAACTTCACTTCAATGCGTATGCATGCGATTTTTTTTATGTGATATGACATATGAACTGGTTGACTACAAAATAAACACATTAAAGTAGATTTCTGATTTGATTTCGAGATATAATAAAATAAAATCACGTACCATCGATATCGACAACAACAAATCTGACGGTACACAAATTACACTCCAATATTTTCGACTGCAAAAAATATATATATTATCGTCCTTTTTTGTATTAAAAAGAAAAAGACACGAGGACTGTATGTCGTTAAATTAAATCGGTCTTATCTTTTGTGGATAACAACACTAACTGATTTGCTGACCTTCAACGATTTATAAATGTGGTTGTGGCAAATACTCAAACTGTAGCTTGGGCACCTATTGCGTACTATATTCTGGTATTGTATGTAACAAACGAAAAAAAACCAACAACTTTATTTTTGAGAAAGCGTTGTTTTAACGAATACCGATGAATGAATCAATGCGCTTGTCGTATGGAACATAAATGTGTAAGTATTTGTGAGTAGGTGGCAAAACCCCTCGAACAGTATACGATATTATATAATACATATCGGTACAATAACTCTAGGCATTTCCATGGTGTAGCATGGCTTTCCATTTCGAGCGCTAACAGCATTTGTACGAAATGAGGCAAAAATGAAGCTTTTCAAATGAACATAATTTCACTCGTTTATAAGGTGTTCAAACGAAGTAACACATAAAAGCGATGGCCGATGGAATTCACTTTGCAGTTTCAGTACCGCGAATGACGTAAACTCAGTTACAAGCCTCCAACTATTAAGCTGTCATAATAACATTTAAAAAGGACAATATCAAAACGAAAAAATCTTCATGCGTCATATGACCATTCTTCAATCACGTTCATTCGTAACCAAACCTAGAACACATAACATTTGACGTAAAATTGAAATTTATTGAATATATTTTTTTAACCATAGATATCAAAGTTTTTTTTTGGATGTGTTGCACTTTAATGAAATCTTACTATCATTTTTGGACAATCAAAAAATACGTGCAGTTTTTTTTCATTTAAAAATGCAGTTTATTCGTACAAAACATTGTGCCAAGAAATTAATATTGGTATTTTTTGCTTTATATTGGTTAGAGCGTTTAATTCACACATAATATGCATAGAAGTTCGAAATTGTGAGTGTATCCTTTGCAAAAGAGATAATAGGATCTTTGTTTTACCAAAAAAATCATATTTTATACGTTTTTCTATGTCATATTTAACCGTAGTTAATATTTCTATTATCTCAACGATGTGCATTTTAAGTTGAATTTTTATTATCATCAATGGTTATAGAACTTCTCATAAATAGATTTTTCAAAATGATGTATATTTATATCAATGTTTCTGCGACCGAAAAAAGTAAATTAATTACTTTGGTCGTAGTGTTAGAACTCAATTTATTAACTAGAATAAAACATTTTTAAAGAACGCAATTATATTATATTTTTTTAGTTTCGCAAGCCATCGAAATTATCCAATCTACAAATATATCACTAGAAACCGTGTATTTCATTTTATGAAATTTCATTAAATTTGCCATGAATGTTTTCTACCGATTGGAATAAAATAACTTGAAACAGAAACATATTTATTGTTTACATGTACGGCCGTACGCCCATGTTTACAATTGAATTAAAACATATTAGCAGGTACCTACAGCGTTTGTTATTACATCATATTGATGCCATTAGATTAAGGAAAACAACATATAAAAATTAAATAAGGCCAAAAGTGAATTGGGTTTTCGTGTAAAAAGATAAATTTATTCTTTCTTTATCCTGATATTTATAGTCATGCTAATCGATCGGATCCCCTAGTTTGTGCTTACGTTTCTTCTTTTATTGATGTCTTCATTACAGGTAAAAATGCACAATGAAAATGAAAACCAATTCGTAGTACCCAAATCGATCAAAAGCAGTACCTCAACAGATACTTCGTGGTTCATCGTCAATAATTTGAATTGTAAAATTCATTTTTATTTACAATGCTAAGTGATCACTTCATTGATTTGATTATTTTTTTTTATTTTTCTAATTGTTGTATTTACTTACTTTTTCTATTTTTTGGAAATACTGTCGTAAAAATGAGATTGGATTTTCTGGACGCGTCACACATAACTGTACGATGCAATCTTTTAGTACACGTTGAATATTATGTGATTGAATGTAATTTTCGCATTCTCGTAAACTTTGTTCTTCTTCAAACGTCGACGCCATATTCATAATGTTTTATAAATAAAATTATTCTGTGGTTTTTAAAGCAATTTAAGTGGGTTCTAAAGATAGTTGAATATTTTTTAAATACCGCTTTTAATATTGCATTTAATTCAATCAGAAAGTTATTTTTATCATTTAGGGCACTCGTTTTTGAGTTCATCTGTTCATTAAATTAATACGTCCGATAATTTTATAAATACTCAAAGTATCTTTTTTCATATATAAACAAATGCGAATAAGCCGTTGTTAGGGTTTTAGGTAACAGATAGTAAAAACATCAGCACAGCAAGGTATTTTTTTATTATCTTGTTTTTTTCAATGAACAAAACATGGTGTTGAAGTAAAAAAAGTTTTTTTATACGCACTATTCTTTGTTAATTGAATCTTTGTGTTATGAGTATGTTTTATCAGATTTAATTCGTTCGACAAATATTGATGAAATTGCACAAAATTAAAACAATAAAGGCTGATGACGAAGTTTTCACATAAAACTTTCTCTAAAAATGGTATTAGCCGTCAATGGATAAAACGTCACACACAATGTACAAATTTTGCTATCTCTTTTGCAAAGAATAAAATGTTGATGTAATTGTATATGTGAACACTATTTGTATATACTTCACATTCCCAGCAATATTGTATTTAATGGTAAGTGTGGGTTTTGGCTGGTTTGACATTAGTGGTACCAGCGAGGCATACTTACTTAAAAATTACTATTCCATTACTCTACCATTCCTGATCCATTCCTTCGATTCATTTTCCATTCTGTTCCATTACTTATTGATTCGTACATATATGAAACATGCTGTATTCGAACATTGACATTTTTAGGTACATATGGTTTATACGTCAAAGTGAAAACGAAAAATAAACATCAAAGCTTATGTGAATAATAAAAACGTTGTTTTCATATTTGAATAATAAAAATGGCACAATCCATGGATATTTCGGTGGAATCAGCCATTGATTATGTTATTCATGGCATCACCTACGGTGAGATCTTTCAACCGTAAGTGCAGCAGTGTTAAATTCATCATTTTATAGCGCGAATGATTGATTTGTGTATTATTTATAGGCCGCTAGCACTGTCGGAGAATGCATGTCGAATTGATTTTGGTACATCAATGGGCAATCAAAGGGGAAAAAGATGATGAAGAAATTAAGGAAGCGGATCGATTCAATGCCAATCTATGACCATGGGATTCTGTCTGTCGACAACAAACTACGTTGTGTATGTACTATATGTATTTCATTACTCTACAATTCCTGATGCATTCCTTCGATTCTGTTTCCATTATCATCATCGTCGCATCGACATTGTCATTTGAAAAATCGCATTGCACATATTATAGAATTAATGTAAATGACGATAATGGAAACAGAAATATATGTGAGATAGAAACACAGAGTGTGTGTTTGTGTGTGTTTGTCTGGCCGAATGAATGCATGAGTGAGTGAGTGAGTTGAGAAACCATTGGGAATGTAAGAAACAATATAGTCTGAACACACACAAATTGCTAACGAATATTTTTGATTTGTTGTGTAGTAGAGAGATGAGCCGGGGTGTTCACACAACAGCATCAAAGCAACGCCACAGCGACATTACATTGGGCAGCAAATGTACGTACATTCGAGAGCAGTAAAACACACACAAAGAGAGAGAGAGAGAGAGAGAGAGAGAGAGAGAGAGAGAGAGAGAGACATTTTAGTGAGTAGATTTGAATACTGCAGTGGTGATGATGTTTGATAAATTTGTATGTATATTATTTTAGCCAGCCAGTTGAAAACAAGATGTGTACAGTTTGCCGCAAAAGGATTGAAATTTTAACAAATGAAATGGCATCACACACACACACACACTCACTCACTCACCAAGGCACAACGACAACGTTCGATTACTTTCTAGATTGAGCAAAACAAAATACTGTTACCGGCTTTTGGCATGTGCAAACATGAAAATAGAACTATACAGTGCTAGTAGCCATTGCAAAGTGAGACACGCGCTCCAGCCGCAGACATTGAACAGCAATCGAAGTGATAATAATAATAATAACTGCACCGAACAGCGTTCCTTCGCCTTGGTGGTTTATTGAAAATAATTTCATTAAATAAATATACAATAATATAATACAATTTGATTTTTATCAAGCATTTTTGAGAGAAAAAATGAAAAATTATAGCTCCTCTCATGTAAATAATATAAATTTCATATAATATTTTTTAAGTGCTTAAAATTTCTACAATCCATAATTTTTTGTATTTATCTGTTTTGCTTTAAATAATTTTCTATTCTCAGTTTGATCGTTGATAAATTAACTTCTAAATCAATTATATTTTCATCACTGTTTGGCATTTTTTTGGTATAAAAATCGTTGAATGACGTAAGCATATAATTCAATGGTTCATATTTTGTGTAATCAGTTCTCCTAATTGGTAAATCAAATAGTGGTGTTGCTCTGGTGTCATGTGCTGGATCATAATATTTCATACTGTTTGAAACATAAGTTGACTTTAAATCTCCGTGAATAATTTTGAAAATAAAAGACACTTGCGCCATCTTGCGTCTCTCCTCAAGAGTAATCATTTGCAGAAATAGTAGTCTATGTTCGTATTTTGGCAGTCTAAAATCGTTCCAGGCCATTCTTCTCAGTGCATACAATAAAAATTGCTTTTGTATTGACTCTATTTTTTTACACATATTTTCGTAGTGTGGATTCCATATTTCAGATCCATACTCAATAATCGGTAATATAAATGTAAAGTAAAGGCGTTTTAAAGTCCATGGGTCGACAAAATCCCTGCTGTTGAATTTTAACCAAGCCAATCTTGATTTTGCCTTAGCAACAACATGCTCGATGTGTGATTTGAAATTCATCTTCACATCAAGCAATACTCCCAAGTCCTTCAATACTTCAATTCTTTCAATTTGCACGCCATCTACGTTGTAATTATATTCATATTTCAGTAATCCTCGATGATATGATATCAGTTTTGTTTTGTTAACATTTAACTTTAATAAATTGCGTCCATAGTAATCTGCTACACGATCCAAATCCCTTTGAAGATGAATACAGTCATCTTCTGATGTTATACATTTTGAAATTTTGGTATCATCAGCGAACGAAAAGATGCATGAATCGGTCACGACGAAAGGTAGATCAATTACAAACATGATGAACAAAGTTGCGCCAATGGGATAACCTTGACCAGTACCAGAAGTTACTTCTATTGGGTCTGATTTGGTATCTGATATCTTGACTATTTGTCTGCGTCCAGACAAATACGATTCGATCCATTTTAACAGCTGTGTATTCAATCCCATTATGTTTAGCTTTTGAATTAGTAATTTTATATTCACAGAATCAAAAGCCTTTGCGATGTCCAAATATATGGTGTCTGTTTGATGTCCCTTTCCCATGTTGATTATCGTATTCGATGTAAATTCTGCCAAGTTCGTTATCGTTGACCTATTTTTGATGAACCCATGCTGACTTTCGTGTACTATGTTCTTTAGATATTGATTGAGATGGTTCGTGACGATCGAATCAAGAATTTTTGACACTATACACTGAAGAGCGACACCACGGTAATTTTGAACGTTGTTTCTGTCACCGTTTTTGTAAACCGGTCTAACAAAAGACGTTCTCCAAATCTGTGGTACAGTGCATGTTTCAAGAGATTCTCTTAATAATGTTGTGATTGGCCCCTGCAATGAAACCAAACAATGCTTGATAAATTTATTTGGTATTTCATCAGGACCACTGACTAGATCATCCGGAAGCATGTCAATTTGTTGTCCAACAAGGTCCCCAGTTATTTCAATCGGTGATATTTCTGCACAAATGTCGCGAATATTTTCAATCTCCGAGTTGTCATATCGTGGATCTCCCATCAAAAAGTTGTAGGCTGAGGCAAAGTGCTTTGCAAAGAAACCAGCGATTGTAGACTGGTCATCTGCCCTCATATCCATATAAGACATCTCATGCGGCAGATCATCACTTTTCCCTTTTTTGTAATTCACATGTCTGAAAAACTTCTTTGGATCATCGTCTATCAGATTCTCCATCTCAATTCTGTAATCCTTGAGTGCTGACCGTGCACTGTGTTTATATTCTCTTCTTAATTGTTTAAAATTTTCTACTGATTCAATTGTGTTGACCTTATTTTTAATCCGATGAGCTTTGCTGACTTTGTTTTTCAACTCGATTAGTGGCCTATTAAACCATATCGGTTGCTTCCTGGTGATTTTTGTTTTTAACTGGACATGAGTTTCGATTGTTGACTTTACAATTGTATAGAAATTGTCTAGTTTTAATTCTAATGAATTTTTATCGAATTCTTTATTCCAGTCAACATCAAGGAGTGACTCATTTATTAGTTTATAGTCAGCATTTATGTAGTCTCTATATGTTTGCTTAGTTTCAACAGTTTTGATGACGGGTTCATTATATCGAATATTGATTGCATTGTGGTGCTTCTCAAAATTTAACAAATGATAATCATTCATGTAACACTGGAACAGCTCAACATCATTTGTCCAGATCAAATCGAGCATACGACCATTTTGGTTGTAGCACTTGTTTATCTGGAGGAGACCAAGATCATAGCAAGTATCCAGCACTATCTTCTCTTTTTCACTGGCTGCATTGATCGCTATTGCTATGTCAGGGTCCTCATCTTCGTCAACAAACCAAACCAATTTGGGTAGATTGAAGTCGCCGGAAACTACTAAAACATCATTTATACTCAACTTCGATGCGATTTCTCTCAAGGCATTCATGTTGTTTTCGTATACCTTGAGTGTTGAATCTGGTCGAATATATAATTCTACCAAATAGATGTTCCTTTTGTGGCCAACTACCTTCACCCAAATCTGTTCCGCACCGAACAGGTCACCCGTCCCAATGCAAACCGACTTTAACTTGTTGTTAACAGCGATCAAAACTCCTCCTCCATTCTCCTTGCGATGAACTTGGTCTTTCTCGGTGTTTGGTGACCGATCACAACGATATACTTCGTAGACCTGCGGAAACAAGTCTGTTGAATTGATGGCGCTATTCAGATGAGTCTCCCGCAGCATGTAAATTGGTGAATGTTGTACAAGAACTTCCGCCACAAACTCAGGTATTTTTGTTTTCAATCCATTTACATTTTGCGAATGGATAGTCAGCTGTCTTGAATATCTTTCATCGTTTAAATTGTGTGAAGTACTCATTTCTGAATTACCTCTCTTGATTACCATCGATGAAAAATTTACAGCCGAGTCTGTTGTGGCATCTAATACTGGTTTCTGGTTTGCCAGCGCTGAGCCGGCGGCCGAAGACCCCTCCGAACACATTGAAAATCCGCAAAACTTTTCTCGAATTCAATAAAACACGAGCGGCAATCACAATCATCAAAATGCGGTCTATCTCTCGGCGAAACATCCTTAAAATGGCGTTGGTTATTGAAACCACCATTCCAATGGCCTCGTCGACGCTCAGTTACCCAATTCTTGCTTTGAAATGAACGTCTGAATGGATAACTGTGTGTTTGTGCATGATCATTTCTTGATTCTAGACGATTATGCTGCTGATTTTGTAGATTTTGTTGCTGCTGCTGGTGCTGTGTTTTTGTGTCTTGTTGTTGTTTTTGCTGGTTTTGCTCTTTTTTTTCATGTTGTTGTTTCTCGTGTTTCTTTTGTTCTTGTTTTTGTTGCTTTTTCTTCTTCTTACGTTCATTTGTCCGCTTGTTTCTTTCTTTCTTTTTCATTTTTTCTTCATCATCTTCTTTCTTTTCATCTGTATTTGAACTGTTCTCGTTTTGTTTTGTGTTTGTTTCGTTGTCTTTTGTGTTTCTTGTCGCTGCTGATGTACTTGCGCCGACGTTAATGCCACTGTTGATCTGATCATCGACATTGTATTTTGTTTCTTTGTTTTGTTTTTGATTAATTTCAGTCAACAGCACTTCTTTAAGTTCATTGATTTTTGTTGTAATCATTTTTTCAACAGTGTCATAATTTATTGGTTCCATTACATCATGAAAATCATCCTCGTTTTCATTGTTTTTAAACTTTTGTTTGCATTTTTCACATGACAACCCGAATGGTGATTTTCCGTCAAAAAAGTCATTTAATTTGGCTTGTGCACTTTCAATGTCAATTGTTTCATACATTTTCCATTGGTTTTCAGTATTTCTGTGCATAATTCCCAGAAAACCCATAAAATCTTTAATTTTTTCGGTTTTGTTTCGTATGCACTCAATGAAAATTTTCTGCTCACATATCGCGCACAAAACAAACAAACCCTTGTAATACACACCGGTGCACATGTTGTCAACACAAGAATGAATTGTCATTTTTTTTTGTGATCGGAAGCAAACAATATTTTGTCTTCTTAATCCGTTGATACAGTCTGATTTTAAAACATTTATTATTCGGTGAAAATCATCGACAAAAAAGTTTTGTTTAAAGTGTGCTCACAACACAAATTTTTTCATAGCATCGAACGCTCGCATTTCCTGAAGTTTTTTTTCCGTTCGTTTGTCACAGCAAAGTACAGTGATTGAAATTGGTCAAAGCCAGTGTGAAACGGGAGACCAATTTTCGAATTGCGCATGAATTCAACGGGAAGAAAAGTCAAAATCAAATTCAAATTTTGTAGCAACACGAACCAAAAGGTATGAATAATTAAAAATATTAAATTTGTCATAATTTTGTTGATATTCAAAATGATATATGAATTAATTTGTGATCAATTTTGTTGCAGTACTACGCATTAGTGCTAACCATAATTTCGAACAAAACAAAATACCGTTACCGGCTTTTGGCATGTGCAAACATGAAAATATAACTATACAGATCTAGTAGCCATTGCATGTCGATTCAAAGAGAGACACGCGCTCCAGCCGCAGACATTGAACAGCAATCGAAGTTATCGGACGCATACAATATTTTCGATACAATTTGATTTTAAAACATTTATTATTCGGTGAAAATCATCGACAAAAAAGT